TCCCACCGCCGCCGCCGATGCCGCCCTTGCCCACCCCTCCCCAGGCCTCTGCTTCCCAGGGGTCACTCCGGAGGCACCGGTGTGGGCAGCCCACGAGCAGAGCCCGGCCTGCTGCGGGCTGCCCCTCCCCACCTGGGCTTCTGGCCCAGTGGGTTACCGACAGCTCCCCCATCTGTCCCCACACTCACCCCGCCATACCCTGCCACATGCTGGCAGGCCCCCTGTGATAGGAGCCCCCTCCCCTGCCCCGTCTTGGGGATCCAGGTATTCTCAGGACCTGGGTGGGCTCAGGTCTGTGTGCGCCTGAGCCCCCACTCACCCTCTGTTCCACAGCTGCAACCCAGAGTGTCAGGAGTGGCCAGGGCAGGGGACAGGTGCAAGCCTGGCTTCGTCCTCTGGCCATGTGGCCTGAGGTGTCCGTGGCCACATGCCCTCTGGCCAGGCGGGCTGGGCCTGCAGGGGGTCCTGGCGAGGCTTGGCACAGGTGTGGGGTCTTGGTGGTGATTTGGGCTGTGCTGAGCCGCATGTGAGCACAGTGTCCTGATAATGCGCCGCTAGGGAGCCCCAGGCTTCAACCCTGCTCTTCCCACTGTCGGGCGGCAGGGTCGCCACTTGCTGGTTTAGAACATCAGCAGAGAAGCCAGAGAGTTAGTACAGTGGGTAGGGCTCTTGCCTTGCACGTGGCCAACTCGGATTTGACCCCTGGCATTTCCATATGGGTCCCCTGAGCACTGTCAGGAGTGATTCCTGAGTGCAGAGGCAGGAGTAAACCCTGAGCAAGATTGGATGTGGCTCAAAAACCAAAAAATGCAAAAAACAACACACACACACACACACACACACACACACACACACACACACACGCAGCCAGGCTAGGTAGGCTCTGGCTCTCTGACTTGTCTTACCGGGGGTCGTGGGGTAGGAGGGACCGAGTGTGCCTCCAGCCCCCCTCCCCATTTCACTTCTCAGTAGGCCCACAGGGACCCCAGTCACAGGAGCTAGGGGTCGTCCAGGAGTTCGGGCCAAGCCCCAGGCAGCCCCAAGCCCAGGGGCCAGCCCAGCATGCCACAGTTAGGGGGTGTTCTTGCCAGCCGCCCCCCCCCCCCCCACTACCCTCCCACAGAAACGACTGGAACAATATCCAGCTTCCTCCGGGAATTCAAGGGTCGTCAGAGGTGCACTCCCAGCTCCCAGGGAAGCTGTCCGACGGCCATGTCGACCCCCCAGCTCCCCACGTCAGGGTCCGAGGCTCTCGGCTCTGTCCCCTCCCAGGGACCCCTCCCCACAGGCAGCATTTTTCTTCCTCTGAAAAGAATGTTCCTTGAGTAAATGGATAGATCAAAAGGCTCGGAGCGTTCATTACATAATTACGGTCATTTTCGCCCAGGAAAGAAAATAGTGAGTAATCAGATCACTGCGTTCAAAGTAATCACGGCTGTGGCCGCCGCACAGGGCACAATGTTTGGCCCCAAGCATCTCGTGCGCCCCTGCCTTGCCTGCTCTCGTCACACCCCAGCCCTGCTGGGTTCCTCGAAGGCTTCTCAGTCATTGTTGGGGTGGGGGGAGGGGGTGCTAGGCAGCTTGTACAGAAGCACACCCTGAGAGGGTGTGCGTGGGTGTGTGCATGAGGGGGTTTGTGTGTGTGTGTGTGTGTGTGTGTGTGTGTGTATGTGTGTGTGTGCGTGTGTGATCATGGCCTGTTCATTTCAGGAGAGAGGAGGGATGGAGGTTTCCTGGGTGTGTATGTGAGGGGGGGTGGGTGGGGGTCCAGCCCAGGCTGTGTGTGTGAGCACACACCTATATGTGCAGCCTTTTTCCTGAGGGCAGGTTAGTTGTGTGTGGGCGTGCACGTATACACGTATAGGTGTGTGCTTGTGTGTTAGTATATATGTGTGCATGCGTGTGTGTGCATGTGTGTGTGCATGTGTGCGTTTGTGCACGCATATAGCTGGAACCTAGGCCCGAGGGCACCCAGAGAGTGGTTGGCCCGGGTGTGAGTGTGTCCAGGGGCTCCCAGCAGCTGTCCGGAGGCCTCTGCGTGATGGCAGCATCCCATGGGTGGCTGCGTGTCTGGAATGCATCACTGCAGAGCTGGCACGGTCTATGGGAGATTCCACGGCCCCATTTCACATACGCGGAAATGGAGGCACAGAGAGACTGAACTGCTGGTTGCAATGAATAGTGAACAGCGCCCCCCCCGCCCCGGGGGAGTGCATTGTGAGTCTACAGCCCTGAAAGGGGGGGAGAGGGGACAGTCCCAAGGGACCTGCCCAGGGTCACCCTGTCTGTGGTGTCCCCTTTCAGGTCAGCCTCTTGGTGCTGCCTGCACCCTGCCCTCTCTCCTCCTCACACATGTGAGGAGAACATGTGGAGAGGCCTGAGAAGGGCGTGCTCGGGTGCCTTTTCGGACCCCTGACCCCACGCTGCTGTCCCTTGCTGCCGCCCATCAAATGTCCCGCCTGCGGGGGCAGGGGCTGGCTGTGTGCTCCAGCCACTCCCCGGGCTGCATCTGCGTGCCCCAGGGAGGCCCAGGGTGGCCTCCCGACCGCAGGAGACGCCATTCCCGCATGGTGGCCTTGGCACCCGCCGTCCCGGCTCCATCCGTCACCTGCCGGCAGAGACAGATGTGCCTGCCTGCAGCCACGGCCGCCGCTGCTCCACCAGCTCGTGGCTCCCGGCACGGGCCCTCCCGGCCTCTGCGAGGCTCTCAGTCATGCCTGGCACAGCGCACTTCCCGGCCTGTTGGCTTGGTGGAGATTTATGGGCCAGCATGGCAGAGGGACGGCGCTGTGGGGAGGGGCTTCGAGGGGCCTCTGCTCGGGCAGCTTGAGGCTGGTGCCCACCAGGTGGGCGGGCTTCTGTCTCCCCGTGCAGGTGAGGGAAGGGCCCCTGCAGGGACAGAGGCTTCAGTTCATTCTTGGCTGGGACTCCACCTGGCCCCGGGAAGCTCTGCCTGCCCCTAGCCCTGAGGGCCCTCAGGAGTTCCCAGATACCCTCAGGGCGCACCCGCAGCCCTGGCCCACCCACCGCCCTGACCTGTGCCCACAGGGCCCCCCAGGCTGGCAGCTCTCCCTCCCTTCAGACCTGCCACACCCATCTGAGTGTTGAGCTTCCAGCCGCAGTCAGCTTTTTTTTTTTTTCTTTTTTGGTCATACCCAAAAAAGCGATGCACAGGGGTTACTCCTGGCTCTGCACTCAGGAATTACTCCTGGCGGTGCTCGGGGGACCATAAGGGATGCTGGGAATTGAACCTGGGTTGGCCGCGTGGAAGGCAGACACCCTACCCACTGTGCTATCACTCCAGCCCCTCGATCCATGTCTTTTGGGGGCCCTGGATGGTGGTGGGTGTGACCAGTGGTGGGGTGGGGGCGGGTCCCTCAGCCGCCCCGTTGGCTGTTTCCCTGCCAGGGTCCAGATGGGCCTTTGCTCTGTGCCCTCCTGGCTGGCGAGGCCTGAGGGCTGCCGACTGGAACCGGGCAGGCTCATGGCCGCCCACACCACGCCCCTTGGAACTCAGAACCGCGTCCAAGTGCCAGTCCCTGACCTCCAGCCCCGCGCCTGAGTGCGGCCAGCGCCTGGACCGAGTCCTGGGCAGCAGGGAGCCGAGGACGTGGCCCCACGTGGCCTCCAGCACTGGCTTTTCTCCACCTGGGCATCAGGAAGGCTTGTTTCCTGCAGAGCTTGGGGCTTGACTCCACTAGAAAGGGCTTCACCCCTTGGAGCGTGTCTCCCGGCCTCGTACTCCTTTCTCACAGGGTGGACGGGGTGTCCACTGGGTGGGCATAGATGTTGGGGGTCCCCGTTGTATGATTGAGTCGGGTGGCCTTGAGGTGGTGGTGTTGTGTGAGAACCTTCCTCATGAGCAAGCCGGTACGGTGAAGCTGGGTTTCTGGAGCCGGCCCTGGGTGGAGGGTCCCCAGTGCCCAGCCCGCGTCCCCACCTCGTTTTGCTCACCCCCTCTCACCCCTCCACGCCCGCCTGGATTCCTGTGCGGTCTGAGGCCCCTCTTCCTCCCAGCAGGGCCTGCGTGTCCCGAACCCCCAGGGACAGGGAGGTGGCGGAGTCTTCCCCCTCCCCCGTGGGCTTGCCATCCTGGTATCTGGGCCACGGGGAGCAGAGGGGACCGGTAGCCATGCTCAGACTGTGACCTTAACTGGCAGGGGTGCAGGGGAGGAGGGCAGCCACCCACGTATCCACAAGAACTGGGACCCTTCCCCGGCCTGGCCGCCCTGAGCCCCCTGCAAGTGCCTGGTCCCCCCACCCCCCACCCCGTGAGGGTCCGAGAGAAGGTGGAGCAGCACGCGTAGTCCCCCCACGGCTGCGTCCCTCGGTCCCCTGGGTGGTCAGCCTGACCTGGTGTCCAGCCCACAGGGCCGTGCCTAGTGCAGCCTCTGGACATAGCTGGGGGCCACCTTGGTGTTCAGAGAAGTGGCCTCAGGCCCGGGTGCTGGGAGGAGAGGTGGGACCCCCAGCCTGTGGCTCAGAGGGCAGGGGTCAGGGCAGACCCAACACGGGGTTGGCAGAGTTGCGGTCTGTGGTGTTCAGACCGTGGGGAGCCCTGGGAGGGGTGTGCCCAATCTCCTGGAGTTCCTGGTCCCCCCCCCTCAGGGGCGCACATGGGCACAGGGTTCCTTCTCTCAAGTGAGGAGGGGAAGCGGGGCCACCCCTGGGCGCTGCCCCCCACCCTCTGGACACACCCCAACACAGTGTCCCCTCTCCCCGCCATGCTCCCCCGGGAGGGTTCCGTGACTCTTGTGTCCCCCTGACTGAGGGTCCAGCCCCTTCTGGCAGGGGAGGGGTGAGGGATGGGGCACTGGCCTGGGGGGTCCTGGTGGGGCTGCCTCCATCTCACACGTGCCGGGCTTCCCCTCCTCGGGGCCTGGGACGCGGTCAAGGGGGCAAGGGGGCAGCCCCTGTCCAGCTGGGCGGCCCTGGCCACACCCTGACACCTGTCATTCCCCTACCTCGTCCCTTCACTGACTCTTGTCTCTTCCCTGCAGCCTCTTCGAGCATTACTGCTACTCCCGGGGCGGCATGCGCCACAGTTCCTACACATGCATCTGCGGCAGGTAAGGAGCTCTGGGAACCTGGTCGTGACCTCGGGGTGCGGGGTCTGGGCCAGGTGGGGGGAGCGGGGGGGGGGGGAAACACGTGTGCTCGGGGCATGCCGGGATAGGGTGGGACTCCGATTGTCGGCGACGTGCTGTGGGGAGCACAAGGCAAACTGGGCGGGACGTGTGTCTGGTCTTGCCCCCTCATCCTCCGGCCTGGACCCCCCTCATCCCCTGCCCCCCTGCCCTCAGCTGTGCCCCCAGACCCCGAGGGTCTGGCCGCCGCCAGCCTGACCGGAGCAGACGGCCCTGCTGGTCTGCATATCCCGGCACATGAATAATACATGTGAACGCCTCAGTCCTTGGAAACGCTCTTCTCTGGTGGGAAGAGAGAAAAATCATTATTTCTACTTTTATGATTCCTGAGACTCCCGAATGGGGTCATAAATATTACACCCAGGTGGGTTTTGTTTTTTTTCTTTTTCTCCTTTGGACAGACTTAAAAGTCCTTTTTTTTTTTTTTTTCCCTTAAAGGCGTCGCTCATTAGGGCAGCCCTGGCATGGAGGAGCCCATTGCTGCCACCGGCTCCGTGCAGGAGGCTCTGGTGGCCGCTCGGTGACCCCGCCCCTCCAGCGCCCAGGACGGGCGACTCCCTGTCCCCTCGCCTCAGACCCTTCTCATTCTTTTCACTGCTGTTGAGGGGCCGTGTTAGGGGTGGAGCCCAGGCCTCACACTTGGTGGGGGGGCCGCGTTCTGCGTCAGAGCCAGACCTCGGCAGCAACTGCTCAGGCCTCTGGGGGCAGTGGGGGGGCTTATGCTGGGCCCTGACCCCCCATCCTATGTCTGGCAGCGGTGAGAACTCGGCAGTGCTGCATTACGGGCATGCCGGCGCTCCCAACGACAGGACCATCCGGGACGGAGACATGTGGTGAGTGAGGGGGTCCTGGGTGGGTAGGGCTTCACGCTGCACCCTGAGATGCCCACGGGCAACCCCCCCACCTTCAGCTGAGGAAGCGCCAAATGCCAGGGGTTACTCTCCGGGGAGGGCAGCGATGGCCCTCGCCACGTTCATGCTTTTCGAGGAAACCGGAGATCAGCCGCACAGCTAAGCGCCGCCACCGCAGCAGGCCTGGGGGTCAGTGGCCGTTGGCTGTCAGGCCCCTCTGGCCCAAGGGTATGCTCTGGTCCCACGGCTGAACCCCATTTTTGGGAGCCAGGGCCATGCCAGAGGCCCATTGTGTGCCCACCGGCGGGTGTGAGCTGAAATGCCATAGTCCAGTTTCAGGGTCCCTGCCGCTCGCTGCCAGCCGCCACCCTCCCTGGCCACGGGGTCAGCGGCGGGAGCAGCTGGTGGGGTTCAGACCCCCTGTTGGCAGCTTAGCCTTCTGGGAGGAAACGGAGCCGCTTCGTGGCCCCTGAGCCTCGGTGGTCTCTGGTGTTCACGGAGACAGTGCCCTCCACTTGGGACTGCAGGGTGGGAGCACGGGGGTGCATGGTGCCCCCCCATACACACATATGCGCGCGTGCTGGCCCTGGGTGGGAGGGGCAGGGGCCCTCTGGAGCGTGGCGTCTGACCTGCTTGAGGGACACTGGTCAGCCCCCACATCCCAGCACCTGAGATGCTGAGCCGGAAGGGCTGGGGAAAATGAGGGCAGGCTGGGAGGCAGCCCCAGGCCAGGGCGGTCGCCAGGAGAGACCCCCCCAGCCTCTGTGGGGACTGCACGCTGGAATGTACCCATGGGTGCATCCATTCTGGCTGGGCAGGAGGGCCCAGGAACTCCATCGCTGGGCTAGCTGCGTGGCCCAGCTCAACCAGCGACCCCCGGCTCCCTGGGCATCCAGCAGGCCTTGGGGGAGAGGCCGCTTCACGTCGTCCGAGCTTGTCCCTGGGCAGGACCTGGTGGGCCAGAGCAGAGCCTCCTCGGGCCTCCACGTGACTCAGCGCTCAGCCCCGGCCCTCCTGGGCTGCGTGGGCACCTGCGGCTCTCGGGGTGCAGCTGAGCACCAGGAGCCATCCGGGATCTCCCCCCTGCCCCCCACTGATGTTCCCACCAGGCCCAAATCGGTGATTTTCCTGTGCTAGTGCTCACCTTGAACTGGAGCCAGTCGGATAATTACGAGTTTATTATAGTCCATTTATTATGCAGTATTTAGAACAACATGTTTCGTTGATCACTGTGACTGCCAGGCTGCTGGCAGCATTCATAATCCATTGTTTTATTGGAATTGATCCGCCGGGCGCCCACTGTGTTGTTCGGCAAATAGTAAATCACTCTGTGATCCCAGCATAAAGCCGCGGCGCTGTCGCTAGGTAGGAAGCCAGGACAGGGGCGTCATGGGGGCTCCGCACGCTGCCCCCGCATGCTCCTGGCACTGCCAGTGCCTCGTGTCTGGGCCAGGGCGCCACTCCTGAGCGCAGCCCCGTCCCCGTCGCGTGTGTGTGTGTGTGTATGTGCGCGCGCGTGCATGTGTGTGCGTGTGTATGTGCATATTCATGTGCGTGCGTGTGCACGTTCATGTGCACGTGTGTGTGCACGTGCATGTATGTATATGCATTTATTTATGTGTGTGTACATATGTGTGCATGTGTGTTCACATGTGTGTATATGTGTGCATGTGTGCGTTCGTGTGTGTGTGTGTGTGTGTGTGTGGTGGGAGAGGGGGGATGAGAATGGGGCATGCAGTGGATATGGGTCCCCTTCCCACACCCACACGCCTGCAGGGAGGCAAGCAGGGACACCCAGTTCAGGTCCCTGCCACTGTCCCCCCGCAGGTCTCAGTCCCTGGGACAAGAGCAGCTGGGTAGGGGCTTGGGGGTGACGGGCAGATCGGGCAGCACAGAGCCATGGCCCGGCCCAGCTCCCGACCTGGAGGTGAGGGTGGCCTCTGCTCTGGCACGGGCTGCCTGCTGTGTTTTGCTTTCAGCCCTAGGTGCCCCCCACTCTTTTGTCCCACCCACTGAGGTCTCCTGGGGGCTGGGCCGTGGTAGGGCCCCGCTGACTGTGGTGCTGCTGGTTCTGACTCGGGGAGGGTGGGGTGCCGGTGCCCAAGAGCTGAGGAGTTCCTCTCCCCCTTCCGGCTCCTCAGGCCGCCCCCTCCTACGGCCCCTGGTCGTCCCCCCCACCCCCCCCCCCCCCGCTCGCCCAGGGACTGGCCTGCAGGCATCAGCACAGCCCTGTCCCCCTTGTGCCCTGGTGAGTCACCGTCCAGGGGTGCGGTGGGCGGCTCTGCTCTCTGTTCTCAGGCACTGCACGGGCTCCCAAGAGCCTCTCGAGGAGGCCAGTGAGCCTCTCCCCTGCCTGGCCAACCTGTCCAAGGGCTGTGAGCCCAGGTGTGCCTGGCCCTGGGGTGTGAGCCCAGGTGTGCCCCTGGGCTCCTTGTGCAGAAGCAGCCGGGAGGCTGCAGAGCCAGAGCTTCCCACTAGGGGGCACCCATGGTCGGGTTCCCATTCGTGGGCAGCCCCGGAGGCCTCCTGTTCCTCCCCCCATTCACCCCTGCTAACACCCCCGCTCCCCATTCCCCACCTGTCTGGAAAACCTGTCCTGCCCCTCCGCCCACCCCCACCGGCGCATCAGCTGGCAGAGGGCGTGGCTGGAGAGGTGGTCTGTGGCCCCTCTCAGAGCCCCCTAGAGCCGGGTCTGAGTCCCGCCTGTGGAGCCCCGTGGCTGGTGAGAGAATCAGGCCCTCCTGGCACTGGCCAGTAGAGGGCAGCGTTGTCCCAGGACTGGACACGGGAAGGGGTGCGTGGGAGGGGGCTGCGGCCCATTGAGGGGACCAGACCCCAGGCTGGCTGAGCAGCCCCTGTGTGGGGCAGGGCGCGTCCTCTCCTGCCCCTCTGTGCCAGCAGGGGTTTCCCGAACCCAGAGAAACCTGGGACAGCCTGGGGAGCCCCGAGGGCTACCATGGCAAGGCACGCCTGAGGCATGTGCCCAGGGCATAGTTCATGCTGCCCCTGCCCGCCTTCTCCTCCTGCTCCTCCTCCTGCTCCTCCTCTTGCTCCTTTTCCTCCTTCTCCTGCTCCTGCTCCTCCTCGTCTTCCTCCTCCTCCTGCTCTGCCTCCCCTTACCACATGATTTCTCCCCTGCCCCCTTCCCCAGCCACCAGATGAGCCCCCTCCCCCCAGATCCCTCTACCCTGTCGGGTCACCATCAGATACTCCCCCACACACACACACACACACACCTCTGCTGGCTTGGGTGCCTGCTACCTCCCCAGGCCTCCAGCAACCTCTGGTGTCGCCCGGGACCCACAGGCTGAACAGTGCTCACCCCATCCTGCCGACGACTGCTTGGCCTCATGCCCATGTGCCACCTGTGTGTGGTGAGCCCACAGAGCCCCTTCCTCTTGGACCTGCTGCTGTGGGGGCTTCTCAGGGTGCGTGTCGGGGTCTGAGATGCAGCTCAGAGGGAACCCTGGTTCCATTCCTGGTGTACCACCACCTCCCTCAAAAAAAAGAATCAGTGCAAGTGTCACCCCCTAAACCACCTTGCCCCCATTTGTTTCCTTCAGAGAGGACATGCCTTGGGGACATGTCCACCCTCCAGGGCAAGAGCACCTCCAAAGTCCAAAGGCCAGGGCCAGGCTCAGCCTCCAGCATGCCTCTGGGCAGGGGTTCCTGCACCCCCACCCCCACTTTGTTTGCTGTCCCTTCTACATCCTTGGGCCCCACCCAGCCCTGTGGGCTTCACCAGACATGGCTGGGTGCTGGCCAGACAGCCCGGGCGACCACAGACGCCGCGGCCCCGCTCCGCTGTCCAGGGGGAAGCACGTGCTGGACGCCTGACGCCTGCTCGGGCTGCCCTGGGCTGTTCTGCGGGAACTGCCCCCGGGGTGTGACCTGTGGTCTGGGTGACTGTCCAGTCTGCCTCAGTCCCCTCTGCTGTGTCCCAGGGTGGGGGGCTGGGGGGGGGCCCAGAGGCCTGAGGGAGAAGGCCACTTAGTGTGCCTGTGACACAGAGGGGCCCCTGACTCCCCAAGGGGTGGCCGTTGCCCCACAGTCTCCCTGGTTCTCTGCCCTACCCAGAGCAGACGGCGGGCACCTTCGGGTCTCTACTTGTGGCCAGTTTGGGGTCCGGGCCGCCCCACTGCAGCCCCAGCGCCAGGCTGCACACCCCAAGAGCAGAACACACACCGTGCGTTGCCCAAACTCTTACTGAGCAGCCGAGTACTGGCCCTCCAGGGGGGTCACGGGCAGGACTGGGGGGCCCTGGATGGCAGGTTCCCAGGGCCTCGAGTTGCCGGGAGGAGCAGAGGGGACACAGCCCAGAAATAGAAGCGTGGGACACGGGCGGGGGCACGCAGGCACGGGCGGCAGCATCCCCCCAGATGGCTTCCATTAGCGCTCACGTCCACTTGGCCAGAGCACGGAGCTCCTGGTAGGTGTCTCCCCCCGCCCCCCCACCCCTGCACCAGGGTCGGGGTGGGAGTGGGGTGGAGTGGGGTGGGGGGACGGGAACCGGCGTCCTTGGCCAAGCCAGAGGATGGCGGGGTTCTCGGGTGTCTGTCGGCACTCGGCGGAGGGCTGAGGGGGACCCCGCGGGGTCGGGCGGGGATGATTTATGAAGGACGTGGCTGTCGTCCCTGGATTCCAGGACGACTCGAAAGTGAGTCACGTACGCGAGTCCCAACTCCGGGGGGATTGAGCGGAGGAGCCGAGAGAGGGGGAACCGAGAGCAACGAAAATAGCCCGGCCCTGCGCTTCCTTCTCCACGGGCAGACGGTGGCCGAAAGGAGAAGCGGCCCGTATGGGAAGGCGCCCGGCCAGCACCCCGAGAGTCGGGCCCCACAGCCATCGGGGTGCCCTGGCTGGTCTCCCCCAGCCTTCCCGGCTGGCAGCTCGTTTCCTTTGAGAGCTGCGTGTCCCCCCCCCCCCCCCAACACACACACCCCAGAACTCTGCCTGGGGAGCTGCTCCAGGTTCTCTGATGTGGCGGCTGAGAATCTGCCCCCTGGTGCCCAGCCCACGCCCCGCGCCTGCTGTTCTGCATCAAAAGACCGCAGCCCATTGTCCCTCTGTTGCCTCAGAGGAGCCCGGATGAACCGCCCCGGCCCCCGCCGACACTGGCCCAGGGCCCCTGGAGGACAGAGGTCCCCCTGCGCGAGGCCAGCACGTCTGTCTCTGTGTTCTCAGCGACAGCCACGCGGGGGACAGGGAGGGGGAGAGCTGGGATGGGAGGCCCCACCTCCCGCTGGGCGCTGCTCAGCTTAGGGGCCCCTGGGCCCTTCCCATCCCCGGCCTCCTTCCTGGGTGTGGCTGCCCAGGTTTCTCGTGCCCCACCCCGGCCTCCACCCATGCAGGGTGAGGCCCCTCCTGAGGCTCTGACTCTGCCCCCTCCTTTCCCCACCACCCCCCACCCCATCCCTGTGCTGCTGGGGCTCCCCTGTGTCCCTGAGGGTCACCTGATGTTTATGGTGTTTTGCAATCAGAAGACGACAGGAGATTAGAAGGTGCCCGGCTGGGACTTTGGATTCGGCAGGTTTTTCCATGGAGAAGTCTGTTCCCGTGGAGCACCAGCGGCAGCCCCCGCAACGCACACAGACACACACACAGACACAGAGACACATACGCGCAACACATGCACCCTGGCGTGTTCTCCCCAGGGCTCAGCGGCAGCCCCCCCCTGCCACACACACACACGCACACACACACCATACAGAGACACACACGCGCATGCACACCACACAGACACATGCATACACATGCACGCACACACAGATACACAAACACACACACACACACGCGCGCACACACACACGCATGCGCGTGCGGGTTCTCCCCAGGGCTCAGCTTTCCTGGGGCTTTCCGGGCTGTGGACAGACGGAGGCCCCCACCCCGTGGGAAGCTGGGGGAGGAGGCGGCACCAGGTTCCAGTCAGTCCCCGGAGATCCACTCCCATCCCCCGCCCCACCTCTGTGCTCCCTTGCCACCGCCCCCCTCACCGGCCCAGAGGCCTCCAGTTGGTTCTGTCCCTCAGCGGTCCCACTGCTTGACTCCGGAGGAGCTGGGCTGCTCACGTGATCCCCTTTATCTGCCCCCCCCCCACCCCAAGGTGGACACATGCGTCACAGCCCTGCCCATCCCACTGCACACACACACCCCCTCCGATCAGGGCCTTTTGGGGTTGTTTTAATTGAATCACTGAGAGATACACAATTACCAAGCTGTTCATGATTGGATTTCAGTCATACAATGTTCCAACACCCATCCCCCTTCACCAGTGTGATTTTCCCACCACCAGTGGTCCCCAGTTTCCCTCCCCTCTCTCCCAGCCCCACCACTCACTATAGCAGGCACTTCTTTCTCTCTCTGTCTCTTTCTCTCTCTGTCTCTCTTTCTCTTTCCTTTTGGGCCTTATGGTTTGCAGCCTAGATAATGAAAAGTTACCAATTATCAGGTATATCCCTTTACCTACTTTCAACACTCAGTTCCTGTCCAAAATGATCATTTCCAACTATTCTTGTCATGTTGGTCCCTTCTCGACCCGGGGCCTTTTTTGGGGGTACCCAGAGGAAAGGCTGGGCCAGGCCCCTCCGGACAGGCAGGCATGTCTGACTGCCCAAGTGCCCTGCCAGCTCTGCTCTCCTCACCCACCCAGCGGGGGACCGTGCTGCCCAGTCACTCCCTCCACCCCATTCTGACTGTCACCTGGAGACTCCCCAAAGGGGCTGTGTGTCCACGGCTGTGTGTATACGTGAGCATGGCTGTGTTTCCACTGACGCTGGGCCACCCACTGGGCATGGCTGGGTGGGGGGTGGCTTATTAAAAGACTGGTGAGGTCCTGGGCACAGCGCTGGTTTTCCAAGTGAGCCCCTGGCCTCCGTCTGTCCTGCAGAGTCGGCCTGTCCTGCAGAGTCGGCGGAAGCCAAGGAGGGTGTGGGGGTCAGAGGGTCAGAGGTCAGCCTTCCTGCCTAGCTTACCCCGGAGTCAGAGTCTCCCAGGACGGCTTCCAGAGAGGAGAGGAGACCCCCCCACAAGCCTTGCCTCTGGAAGTGACCGTGGCGGGTGGCCGGAAGTCACAGCTGCGGGGAGGGTGGGGTGAGCACGGGCCCAGCTGTTACCTCTCTCCCACAGCCTCTTCGACATGGGCGGGGAATACTACTGCTTCGCTTCCGACATCACCTGCTCCTTCCCCGCCAACGGCAAGTTCACCGAAGACCAGAAGGCCGTGTACGAGGCTGTGCTGCGGAGCTGCCGCGCGGTCATGAGCTCGATGAAGCCGGGTAAGAGCAGCCACCCGGCCAGGGGGGGGCCCTAGGGTACTGCCCCCCCCCCTCCAGCACTCCAGGGGCCTGGGGCAGGTGGGAGGGAACACCTGGCGTCAGGGCTGAGGACGGGCCGGACTCGAGCTCACCCCCTGGTTCCAGCCCCAGCGGCCACACGGCATGACAGCCTTTATATGTTCAAGGCGAGGAAAACCCCCTCGTCAAAGACCAGGACATGGCCTTGTGTGGGCCCCGCGCCCTGGTGGTCCCTGGGGTGATCCGCCCTCTCTGTGGTCCGGCCGGTGGTGCTGTGTGAGGGTCTGTGGGCAGCTGAGTCTTCAGAGGAGACAAGTGGTGGTCAGGATGGCTCCCGCCAGCCCCGAGAAGCAAAGGGGGTGTGTGAGGGAGAGGCCGGGGGAGTGGATAGGACCAAAGCAGCCGCAAAGGCCAAGGTCAGCGGGTTAGAAGGCAGAGCGGCCCGTGAGCCTGTCTGTCGAAGGGCCAAGGAGGACAGAGACTTGCGGGGGCTTGTCCTCCCTTGCAAGGGAGGAATGGACGGATGGATGGACAGGGTGGGCAGGAAACGCGTCTCCTACTGCTGGGAAGGCCTGACCCCACCGAGGAGGCCCCTGCGAATCTGAACACCAGGACCAAGGGTGGGGAACGGCACGTATCTCCCATGCGACAGGGCCCCCCCCCCCCACACACACACACACACCGCCTAGGCTGCAGGGAAGCCCACCCCCAGGGGCCCTGCTAATTCCGGTGGCTGAAGCAGAGGGCCTCGCGGGCAGAGCCCCAAGCAAGGTCGAGGGGTGCTGCTTCCCTGCTGACCACAGGGGTGCAGAGTCAGGCTGAGCAGCTGCTGGCCGGGCCGGGAGGTGGCCGGGACTGGACGGAGAATGTCATGAAGTCATGGGAGAGGCTCCAGGAAGCGGCCCATCCCTGAGACAGCCACAGGGGACACTGTTCAAGGCCCAGGTGAGGGCTGGGAAGGACCCTGAGAAGCTGGGCCGCCCGTGCCCTGTGTACCCCAGACTGGTCTGGGGCCCTTTCCAGCTTTGCTCCGTCCCTGGCTGGGGCAGGCCCGGGTTCCCCTGGCTCTGGGAGACAGAGGTACAGCCCCAGGAGTAGAAGCCAGGTGTGGAAGGTGGGCTCGGGGGACACTGACCATGTGCTGGCTGCATGGACCAGAGCCGACCTCTGGCCTCCTGCCCTCTCGGCGCTCTCTGCCAAGGTCAGGGGAGACCTGGGACCCCTGCCCCAACGCTGCCCCCCAGAGCCTTCTGAGATAGGATGCACCTCATTTGGGAGGGCTGGAGGATGCGGTTCCCGCTCAGCCCCCCCGGCTCCCTGGTTCCAGACAACAATGACAGGGATGGACCCTGCTTGGGTCCCGGGGGTGACCCCAGCCACCAGCCCAGCAGGCTTCTGGCCTACTAGGTGTGGCTTGTGGGGGACGGGACGGGTGCAGAAGATGGTCCTGGGCCCTAGATGCCCCCCAGTTCCAGGTGGTGGGCTTCGCACAGGGCCCTCCTCTGCCCTCCCTGCAGAGAGCAGGGTGTTGGAATGGGAGGGCAGATACACCTTCTCCTGTGCCCCACCACAGCCTAGGCTGCAGGGAAGCCCAGGAGGCTGCCTGCCCCCTCAGATCTGTGGTGCCCACAGGCACAGTGCTAGCCTGCTGCAGTCAGGGAGGGCTTCCTGGAGAAAGCTTCAACACCGAGGCCACCGGGGAAATGGGAGCAAGTCTGGGGAGGCCAGGGGACAGTCCTGGGCGGCACCAGGGCCACTCATGTTGGTCTTGGAGTGAGTGAGGAACACGGGGCTCTGACCTTAGGCTGAGACCAGCCTTGCGAGCACCATGCTGCAGAGACGGCTCAGGGTCCAGGCCCCGGGGAGCTGTCATTCGTGAAGCGCCCGGGCCCGGCTTCCCGGAGGAGGGGACAAGTCTGACGCTGGCGAGGAAGCTGCGAGGCTGATGGTGCCAGCCTCTCGCGTGCTCCCCGTATGGTACCCCCAGTCAGAGTGAGCTTGGGGGGGGGACGCTGGTGGCTTCTGGCTGTGCTGAGCTGGAGGGCAGGGCGTGGTGCCCCGGTGCCAGCCGCCAGCTGCCCCCGGGGACAGTGACCTTCACACAGTGAAGGGCCCCTGCCCGGCCCGGGAGTGTCGTAACCACCATCCGGGCCAGCGGCCGGGGCCAAATTGCCGGAGGTTTAATCACTGTCACAACCCTAACCACACACAGGCAGAGAGACTCCCACTCCCAGCCAAGAGGGCTGTGCGCAAGGCCCTCCCCGCGGGCGCAGGCCAGGAGGACTGGAGGCGCCGCGGGGACCCCGCGAGGGGCCGAGCTGCCAGCACGCAGCATGATTTATACCTGATTCCCACCCTCTGCGGAGAGACCGCAGCCCCGCGTGGCAGCTGGCCAGGCCTGAAGTCAGGCTGCGCTTCCCGGGGCTCCCCGTCGGCGCCGGGAAAGGCCCCTGCCGAAGGGCCAGGGGTGGGCTGGGGCGGCAGCCACCACCCAGGAGGCCCTTCCCCGTCCCAGGCTCCGGGGCTCCCGGGCGGGCCTGCGGACTGGCGGGGCGTGCCTGCACCCCCCTGATCCCAGCCTCCTCTGGCAGCTCTGGGGGAGTAGAGGGCCTGGGTGGGCAGCCGTGGGACCTTTCTCCGGCCCCTGAGGCTGAGCCGCAAACACCAGGCCCCATGCGTGGTGCTGACGACAGTCTGTGGGCACCAGCGGTGTGGCCCCTGGACACAGGCGGCCTCTGGGTTGGGGCAGTGCCAGGATCCCATCCTTGGCCCCGCGTTGTAGGGCACCGTCCTACGGCCGGGCAGCACCCCCAGCCTGGTCTCCATCCCCAGGGGTGCAGGTGGGGCCCAGCCGGCTGTCTCTGCGGCCCACGAACTGCTCCTGGCCTGGGTCGTGGGAGTCCAGGCTGGATGGGCTCAGTGTCTTCTGCAGCCCAGTGACCGCAGCTGCTGCCTCTGGTGCCCAACAGGGTGCCCCTCGCCCCCACCTGCCCTGAGCTCAGACCTGGCGGCCCTGCCCTCGCCCACTGCAGGGAGGCCCATGAGAGCCAGGGTCACACCCATGTCCAGGGAGTGGTAGGGACTAGAGGATGGTTGGAGGGTTGGGTGGGGGGAGGGGGTCCTGCCCAAATAGCCCTGGTGGGATGCCAGGTCTCGGGCCTTGTCAGGTGCACCCAGGTCAGGGTAGAGCCCCCTCCCGGGGCTGGGGTGGGCTGTGTCAGTGTCTGTGGGGCGGGGCCCAGGCGGAAATGCCCGCAGAGAGCCAGGACACGAAGGGCGGCTCCCCCTGAGCCCCCAAGCCTCACGCAGGGAGCCTTCCTGCCCAAAAACTACCTGGGGCAGCCCCCACCCCCATGACCCTTGCCCCGGAAACACAGGGCAAAGCTGACTGACTAGCTGGAGTTGGGGCCTCAGCACCACCACGGACCCCTGCCAGTGAGATGAGGCCATGCCAGCCGCACCTCCACCCCAGAAACCTTTGCTCCCCAACAGCTCTCAGGGTGACTCAGCCTGTCCCCGGGACATGGAGGGGCTGACCGCCCTCTGCCCGCCCCGGCTCCCCTGGCCCCACAGCTCGAGGCGACATCTGGCCCTGGTCCCAGCCCCGTCCCTGGATCATTCTGGCAGTCCCACACCCACATCCAGGGCCAGGGGCCTCGTTCCTGCTGCCACCCCTGGGCCTCCTCGGGCTCCCCTCCCCCGCCACCCCCCCAAGCCAGGCAGCTGGGGTGGACACAGCAGGGGCGGGTCCTCCCAGGAAAGGGCATTCGAGAGCTCTGGGCTTTGGGGGAGCCGGCCGGCGCCCCGGCTCACTTAACGGCCACCTCCCTCCCGACACAGGCGTCTGGTGGCCTGACATGCATCGCCTGGCCGACCGCATCCACCTGGAGGAGCTGACCCGCATCGGCGTTCTCACCGGCAGCGTAGACGCCATGGTGCAGGCCCACCTGGGAGCTGTGTTCATGCCCCACGGGCTTGGCCACTTCCTGGGCATCGACGTGCACGACGTGGGCGGCTACCCCGAGGTCATTATTGGGGATGCCCCCGCCGCCCGACTGTCCCTGGCCCCTGTCTCTGGACTGCCATGGGCGCGGGGAGCCGGTTGGGCTCTCGAGGGACAGGGTGGGGGAGGCCGGGGAGTAGGGTGCCTCTGATCGGTCCTGCCCCGGCCACAGGATGCCCCGCAGTCCGAGTTAGACTGGGCGTTTATGGGAGGTGGCAGCTGCCAGTGCGACAGAGTGAGGGTCCCCGCGGGGAGCCCTGGGGCTGGTCCTGCATAAGCACGTCCTCTGGCCGCGCCAGCTGTTGACGTCGTGTGCCTCCCCACCGTCTGCCAAGCCCAGCGCCCGCCGGGCCCCTGGCACCCTTCGCAGGGAAGGAGGTGCACATGGGCTTTCTTGAGACCACCCAGAGGGGCTTGGCACCTCTGAGCCCCGTGGCGGGCAGGTGGCTGCAGCCTCGGCCTTGGTGGGCGGGAGAGCGCGGCCCTGCCCCCTGGCCTGGAGCCCACGGCACGGGGGCTGATTAGGCAACGGGGCACACCCCAGGGCCCACCAGCCACTTGGCCCGGCCCGGCCCACTGGCTGCAGGGTATTTTGAAAGCACCAAGAATGATTGGGGAGGTGGGGGGTGGGGGGCGGGGGGGCGGCAGGGATTGCTCAAGAGATGCATTATTATTCAATTATTTTTTTTCCCTCAAGTGTAAACAGTTAAATTTGGAGAAACAAAATCAGTTTTAATTTCCTAATTCCTATCCATCACACTGTGCGGGGAGCCAAGAGCAGGGCCTTCCAGACATTGTTAACTGAAGACCATTATTCATGAGTCGCCAAAGCGCCGTTTTTTTTTTTTTCCACCAGAGAAAATTGGCAGCAAACTGTTTTCATCTTTTCCAGTAAGCAGCCCTTTGTGCTCCGAGTCTATTCTTCTGACAGTTAAACATTGTGGAAAAAAATATGGCTTTTCCTATAAAAAGTCATTTGTTTTACTTCAGGCCCACAGACACATCTGGGTTGCCTCTGCCCAGAGGTGGGCAGAGCCAAGACCCATCGGCCCCCACGCCCCGCCGCACAGGGGCTGGCACGGACTGCTGCCCCCCTGCCCACAGGGAGCTTGAGGCCCATGGGCCAGGGGCTGAGCCTCCCCTCCTCATGGGGCCGCTGTCCTCTGTTTGTTGGTAACCCAACGGTGCCAGGGGCCAGCTGCAGCCAAACCCCTTCAGGTCCCCACAGCTGGGTCGGAGTAGAGGTCCCGCCCACTGTCTTCTGGAAGGAAACCTGTCTCCGCCCCCTTCCTTGCACCTAGCACGTGATCATTGCCTTGGCGAGGGGCCGGGCACCAGGCAGGGCACCCGCTCAGATGACGCCCCCAGTGCTCACAAGCCCCTGCTTCACGTGAGCGCACGGACTGTGGAGGCAGGCAAGGAACCCACGTCCTCCGCCCTGCCACCCAGCCCTACCGCCCCCCCCACCCACACACGGTGCTGCCCCTTCCGGTACCTGACATGAAGCGCTATCAAAGTCTGATGTGCTTGGCCAACCATCAGGAGTGCCAGCTGCAATGGCGGGCAGAGCTGCGGGCAACCTCTGTCCCCTCCCTGCCACTGTCCCCTCACTCCCTAGTTGCTGTGGGCCATGCCTGTGGGACAGGTCCGGGCTGTGTGCACCGTCCCCTCCTGTGTCCAGTGCAGGTCCCCGGAGGCCCTGCAGGCAGTTCTGAGAGTAGCACGGGGCAGGGACACGTGCCCACGGCAAGAGCTGGGGCCACCAGCTGGGAGGAGTACAGGAGGGCCCCCTTTCTCACGGCTCCTGCCCCCACCCAGGGCGTGGAGCGCATTAACGAGCCAGGTCTGCGGAGCCTGCGCACGGCGCGGCGCCTGGAGGCGGGCATGGTGCTCACGGTGGAGCCCGGCATCTACTTCATCGACCACCTCCTGGACGAGGCCCTGGCTGACCCGGCCCGCGCCTGCTTCTTCAACCGGGATGTCCTGCAGCGTTTCCGGGGCTTCGGCGGGGTGAGTGCCTGCGGGGGGACACCAGCCTGCCAGCCTCAGGCCCTCCTGCTCTAGGAACCCCCAGCCTGGGAAGGTGGCAAGGGGACGGGAGGGGGCCCACATGGGTGACCCCAGGGAAGAACCGCCAGAGCCTGGGACTGCCCCTTCTGCCATGGGGAGCACTCCCCACACCCAGAAGGGTCCTCGGGCTCAGGAGTGGGGGGTGGCCTGGGACCGGGAGAATCCCAGCTCACCACTAACGCGTGCCTTTCCCCATGACGCAGGTCCGGATCGAGGAGGACGTGGCGGTGACGGCCACTGGCTCGGAGCTGCTGACATGCGTGCCCCGCACGGTGGAGGAGATTGAGGCTTGCATGGCCGGCCGCGACAAGACCCAGTAGGGCTGCCGCTGCAGTGCCCAGCGCCAGGAGCCCGCCCGGGGCCACGGCCCTCCCCAAGGGCAGCCGCTGATGGGCGTCCCCGGAGGCCACGGTGCTCGGGAGGGCAGACCAGAGGGCGCGGCGCCTGCCCTTCCTCTGTGCTTGCTTCGCGTTGACTGACAAACCACCTTCCAAAATGCTCCTTGACTAGCTGCAATGTGTCTCTGATCATTTATAATCTCAGGCTCAAGGAAGGTGCCTTCCCAGTAAATTCTCTCAAAAAACTCTTTTTTCTCAATCCATCCACAGAGTGGAATTTGCAATAAAATTTTCTGATGATGATGCAGCCCGGGTACAGCTCCCATTCTCTGGCCTGTGGGGATCTGAGTCTTTCCGGGAGGGTGGCAGGGTGCCCTGCCCTGCCCTTCACTGTGGTTCTGGGCCACCGTTCTTCCAAAGGTGTGACTCGCAGTGTCCCCGTCCTGATTTCCTTCCGGTGAGGGCAACACAGATCAAAGCCTGCATCAGGCTGGGTTAAGGGCCCCATTGCCCGGGGCCCCACGTGAGTGATCTTGGGCCTTCCACATTTGCCCCATCTGCCTGCACTGAGCCTGTCCTACCCCAGGGCGGTAAGCCAGCAAACCACCAGTCCCTCCATGGCAAGGACCAGTCCTTGCCTTGTCCAGTTTCCCCTGGTCCCCAATAAGCCTCCGCTCCACACCCTTCAGCTGACTTGTAGAATTCTGTGCCCCTTCCTCATATCTTCTGACAGTGCTCCCCCCAATCCAGGCCAAGATAAAAACGCAAAATGAGACGCAGTCAGGATGGGGGATGGAAAACCGTCCCTCAAGCTGGAGACTTTCTGGGAAGTCACTGATGTTAGACCACAAAAGTGGCTGATGCTGCAGTCCAGGTTACCATGAGACGGCGTCCGTTCCAAAGCGCCGCTCTGTCTTTGCGGCTTAGGCTCGCGCTATAGACAGTGGAGGGAGTAGAGCTGAGCGCGGCTCCCACCCCAAACCTCACTCACGAGCCACATGAGTCTGCCGCTGAAGGCGTCGCTGGCCCTCTCGCTCATCCATTCTTCTTTTGGTTTTTGGACCACACCTGGCAGTACTCAGGGATCCCTCCTGGTGGGCTCGAGGCACTAGATAAGGTGCTAGGGAATGAACCCAGGTCAGTCGTGTGCAAGGCAAACACCTTCCCCACGGTACCGTCTCTCCAGCCGCAGCACAAGCATTCTTCAGGGTTTTCTACTGTGGCACAGATACAGTCCTTAAAGAAATTTGTGAATTAAGTAGAGTACCAACTGCGTATAAAGTCTACTAGGAGTTCACAAAACACTCCTGTGACAGGTAGCACTATAGCACTGTAGCGCTGTCCTCCCGCTGTTCATCGATTTGCTCAAGCAGGCACCACTAACGTCTCACAACAAATTGTGAGACTTGTTGTTACTGTTCTTAGCATATCGAATACGTCACGGGGAGCTTGCCAGGCTTTGCCGTGCGGGCGAGGGACTCTTGGTAGCTTGCCGAGCTCTCCGAGAGGGGCGGAGGAATTGAACCCTGCAAGGCAAATGCCCTATCCACTGTGAGGGCTATCCTCCAGCCCAGTTCCTTTGTGTTCATCCTGTGACAGGTACCATCTGATATACAGGGTTTCAAACCAGCCCCCACAGGGATAAAAACCAGTCCAAGTTAGGGTGAACCTCTGACTGCTTTAGTCTTGTTGGGAAACAGCTGGTGTATCACACATCTTTCTCTTCCTCTCCACACACCCACACCCCATTTCACATAAGTGTGCTCAAACAGACAAGAACAGAACTGTCCCTCGACACTTTGTCCGAGACTCAAACGTGCTGTGCAACGTGGCTGTGGGTCGACCCAGGTTGGTAGGTCAAAGGGCATCTTCATAGGCACAGGAGCCAACCACCCCACCCCAGGTTCTAGAGGGTGCGTTCAGTTTTCGCAAGTCTGCAGAAATTTGCACAGCTGCAGAACTACATCAGAGACCCTTCTAGAGAGCCGTGCCGTGCTGTGCTAAAAGGCTGCCCGAAACTGGGAAAACATCTACTGTGTCCCTCTGCAAAGGTCAAGTACCATGAAGAAAGGAACTTCCCATTTAACGCAGAAAGCCAGGGGGCTGAGAGGAGGAAAGGATGAAGAGGAGAGGGAGAGAGAGAGACTGACTGGTGTTGCAGAGGCTTTGGGCAGCCCCTGGGGTAGAAAGAACTTGGCAAGGGCCTGCAGTCAAAACAACATGAGAGAGAAGTACAGGAAAGAAGTCTTGGGTCAGGAGTCTCTGCAGAGAATGGGTCTCGGCCAGAGCAAAGGGGAATGAGGCCAAAGCCTCCGAGGTGGGTGAGGGAGGGAGACAGACAGGACCAAGGCCTGAAGAGGCAGGATGGGAAAGGCAGCGGCTGTCTGTTGCTTCAGTGAGTGGCCCGACGTGTCCTGGAACTGCCTCACGGTTCCGCTTGCTTCCAAGCCACTTCCACACCCTCAAGTCTCCAGCCTGAGGCAAGATGGAGACTTGGAGTGTTATTTGGGGAAGCTGGTGTTCACATGTGTAAAATGCCTGGGGACTCTTCTGACAATGAAGAAGCACATCTGCAAGTGCTTGATTTAAAAAGCAGACACCTGCACGAAGACATCATCTCTAAAATTCCCCTCCTGCCCCCCAGTTACTAGAGGATAAATTACAACTAATTCATGGAACGGAGATGAGGCGTTAACTACCCACAGAAATAATTACGGCCCTCCACCTCTCATGAAGATGCAGTAAGCAGAAATTTCCCCAAGATACAAGATTCACGAAAGAAAAGTACCAAGATGGCACTTGCCGTGAAACAGGCCCACCGGCTTCTTGGACTCGGTGTCTCTGAATTCCTTTCCAGAGGCTTGCTGGCACCATGTAAATGAAGACAATGGTGTGTCCTTGGGAAGGACAATGACTGTGTCACTCCTGGCATCTCCCCGGCTCAGAGCTTGAGGACTCACTTCCTGCCATGCCAGCGAGAGCTTGCTTTATATCCTGCACACATTTCTGCAGGGGTCTCAGTGGCAGACCAACTCCACGGGCCCGGAGCAAACTGCCCATCCACCACGGGCAAGCTGGCCGTGGAAGCATTCTCCCCTCCCCCCATCATGGGCCAGGAACGGGCATGTGTCCGCTGGTCAGGACCGTCCCATACCCACCCTGTCGTCTCAGTATCAACCATAAAGAAACCCACAAGGAAATGCAGTCATTATTCCAAAGTGTTTTTGTTTTTATTTCAAATTCATTGAAAGAAATAAAATTATATTTAAAAAAATAGAGTAATCTCACAAACTGAAGAAAGCCAGGAACAGAAAGAACAAATGAATGTGTTTCCTGAGGCAGACCAAACAGCTCTAGAATGGACTTTCTCCTTCCTAGCTTTTGTCAAACAAAAAAAAAATCTTTCCTATTTCAAAGGCATCAAAAAGCTCTTAATTGAAGGCAACAAAAGGTGCTACTGAGGGCTGGCTGTTTAGGTAAGAAGTCTCAAGGCCTCTACGGGGGACCATTAACTTAGAAAGCTGCTCCGATCACCTTTCAATCAATTATAAATTGCACATACTTCTACCTTTTCGTGTAAATTTGAAAGTTTCAAGTTTCCCAATAATGACGTAAATTTCAAAAACCCAGTGATATATATCTACAGAAAGCTTACGTCAGAATCAGCCGAGTCTCAGCACTCAGGCAGTCGGTCGGGGCATTAGCTAACTGCTCCCAAGGTGAGACACAGACACAGCTACACGGCAGCCCACCCTAAAGCCTAATCCTAACCGCAGGACCTGGGGCGACATCCATCCCCAGGATTCCCATACAACATACAGACCAAAAATTACAAAAGCCCAGTTACGATTCCCTAAGCGCTGCACTTACCCACCCCCTACATCTGGTTTCCCTCCGTTTCACATTGATGAATCTATTAAACTAAAATCTTCCATTCCCAAAACATTTCAGTGAGATCGAGATAATGGCTCACACGTTCTTTGTTCTAGGCATGGCGGGGTACCGTGCCAAGACCTTTGATGTGCACAGGTAATAGGAGAGTCTGAATCAACCTTTTTTTCCCCCCCTGAAACGCCAATCTTACATCCTGATTTGAACCGTGAACTAAAAATGCAGTTGCCACCGATTGCCCTAACGCTTCTTTTCCAAGAGAGTTAAGTCACTCTGCCTAACTTGAACTGTAAATTCCACAGGAACCTCAATTTGACTTTTTTCTTTAAGTAAATAAAAGACTGAAATGTCTGTAACATCAACTAGAGGTGCTTCAAAACATTCGGGTGACACAACTGAAGCTCCAGTCAGATTATACATCGGTTAGTCATTAAGGATTCTCTAAGAGTCTTGACGTATATCCTCGTTATTAAAAACATCACCTTTATGAGTGGATCAGGACTCCCAAGGAGACTGGTGTGGGCCCTAGGAGCGAGTCCTATATCTCGTGGAGGGCACCCCGCTGGGCTGTCACACACAGAGGGGCGCATCTTGGCTTTGCTGAGCTGAGGTGCTGGGGTGTTCCTGCCGCTGGGGAGAGCACACACAGGATTTCTTACACCAAACTGAAGGTTCAGCCCAAGTTACATCCTAGTTACCTGAACCAGGTCCTTGTATGAAACAGCAAGTTGGTCAAAAATGGCCAACTTCATTCAGAAGAGACACCTGGTTCACACACAGTTTTCGATGTAACTTGATTTTCCCAGAACAGCCCAGGCACAACAAAGAAACCGCACGGAAGTAGACAAATTTGAGCTATAAATTGTGCTTTAAAAAAAAAATAAAGCCAACAAAGACAATCAAAATTGATTTTTAAAAAAGCCATACTCTAAAAATTCCAACTTGGTGATTACCATTTTTTTTTACTTTCAACAAAAATGTCAACAAGATATCCTGAGTATTTTTTTTTCTAAAATAATTTATGGTTGGGAAAAAAAACGAACAATGACTAAACAGAAGTAATGGCACAAACATCTGGAAGAAAATCCCACGAACTAGAAAAATAAATGCCACAAAAACAATATGAAAAGATGTTTTAAGGAAAATAAATTAAAGGTTAAAACCTCACACTTTCAAGTTTTTTTAAACAGCAATTTTGGGAGATGTCATGAAATTGATACATTTTTCTAGTCATTAACTGGTTAAGATCAAAAGCTAAAATGAATTCATGTGAAAATTTTGCCTTTCACAAAAATGAACCCATTTCAGGTATCTGTACATAGGAGAAACTTTAACCCTCATCAGTAGCTTGTAGTCAAACTGTGTTAGGATTTTTATCTACTAAACTGGCAGTCAAAACAGTACTCCAGAAAGCTTATTTTACTATTGCAGGAACTAAAAATTGGCTGTCCAAGTTTTTCTGAACTTCCAAATTATTTTAGTGCTTACGAGGAAAAAAATTAATGCCAACCCAGTAGCTCAAAAGCATAATTCTAATATGCATTTCTTTTCTGTTTAAAAATAAATCTGTTTCCTCAACAATTTTTAAAAATTTGTCTAAAGCTAATTGACTGCATGCTGCCTCCAATCATCACAGTTCACCAACGTGTACTGATCTGCCAAAACACAGTTTACACTACACACGAAATTCTCCAAAATTACAAAGTGATTGGTTTTGAGAGCCCTAAGAATTAACACATAATTTAGACTAAAATCACAGAGAGATTAATATAGATGGCGTTCAGCTACCATTAATACAATTAACCAGCCCCATTAAAACCGAGAACCTTCTTTTAAGACCTGTCAGTTCCCCCAGTTCTTTTGCCAACCTAAAAAAGAAACATTTCTTGGGAAATAAAGATTTATTAAGAACATCGAGATCCAGAGTCAATTTGTTTTTACCATATACCTAGAGCGTTTTTTTTAAAACCCCACAAAAATTACTGTCCTTTAAAACTGAGTATCCAATGACAAGGCTGATGTGAGTTCGCCAACTCTTCAGTGCGGATGCTACGAAGGCCCTCCGTGGGACCCCTGGCTCACAGAGCACAGGGCCGCCGAGGCCGGACAGGAGTGGCGCATTCACACCCCAAAACGTTCAAGCCCTACGAGGGGGAGCGGGCGGGGTGAGGCCTACGGTCCTGTGTTCTCAGAAGTCGTGGTTGCATTTTCAGTGCTACTGGGCTGCACGTTGTCTGCGAGGTTGTGTGCATGCTCCAGAAACAAGTCCTTCAGTACGCTTAACTCCTTAGTCAGCAACTTAATCTTGGCTTCCAACCGTTCGTTCTCTTCCTTGAGCTGGTTCACTCTCTGCAGGGTGTCCTGCGCCTTCTGCTTGCTTTTCAAGCGGCTCTTTTTGACCGCCATGTTATTCCTTTCTCGGCGCTGCCGGTACTCGTCACTGTTCCGATCCATCGGGGAGCTCTTTTTGCTCTGCTTGCTGGGCGGCACGGCTTTGCCGCCTCCTCCAGGGCCGGCGGGCACCAGCTGAGGGACCTGCTGCAAGCCACTGGCATGAGCCTGAGCATGAATGACACTTATTCCATTCACTCCCGGGGCACCGTGCTGCTGCGCTATCTTGCTCATCTGGACACTCTCCCTTGCCAACACGGAACAGACAGAAGCAACAAGGGCAAGGCGATCAATGGTTTCCACGCTAAACCGCCAAGGAATCTTCACACGTACCTAGTTAAAAAACAAACTGCATTAAAATATTCGAAACGACAAATGAGATTAAACTTTCGTGGACCTAACAGCAGGCCAACACGAACTGATCAGGATGAAAATAAAGGCTGTAACAACTGCCAACTGGTTCCATGTTTCAGAAGTCTACATAAATTTAGTTCAGAAAGCTAAGTTGGAACACAGGGCCAAACCGAGCCCACCTGAGCCCCCCTCGGGGCCTGCCCATCTGTGAGGATCAGAAATGGGAGGGAAAGATACAGACTCCCACTACTCAGGGAGCACAAAGGAACCAGCAGGACTTGGCAACACGCCAAGGTGCAATCCGAGCTGCTGAGGTGGAACACGGAAAGGCGGTTCCACGAGGACCCGGGACGCGGTTTCACTGGTCAGGGCCAAGCAGAATGCTCCGGGGCGAACCGAGTCTCCAGGACTCGCCAGGAGCACTGTGCTCCGCTCACTGCACAGCCTGCCTCTGGTTTCGAAGTCAGCAAGGACCTGACCATCTCTCGAAATACACCTTGATAAGGTATTTTATATTTGAGATGTTAATTTTGAAAGATTTGACTTTCTCTCAAAACCGACCTTGATGAGGTACGCTGAGGGTTTGTTTTTCACATATTTTTGATGGCCTCAGGGAATAAGAGTTGACCGAGCTTTGCAGACCGAGCTTTACCGAGCTTTCACATACCGAAACTCTTCACGTAAGAGTTTACTGAGCTTTCACAGACTGAAGGAGCTGAGACCACCCCCCACACACACCCCTAATTTATTCCTCTCTCCCATCATGCTTCCGCCAGTGATTTTCTTCTTGCCGTAATAAATATACCTATAAACTGCCCTCACGAAATAAGCTGGGTGAAGCACAGCCCGCATGAAGGCAAGCAGGAGGGCTTGGCTGGAGTGGTGGGTTAGAAAGGTCGAAATCGCACACCTACACTGGTGCACAGCTGGAGGAAGAAGGCTGAAGAGCACGCACCCAGCTAGACCAAGAGCCCCAGCAGTGTGAGGCCTGAGGCCCAGGTCTGGGGCATTCCTACAAGGCTTGCTCCAGAAGAGAAGTCCTGGATTCAGAAATGAGGCCTGCTGGGGCTCCCTGAGGCGCACTGGGTCCACGGAATTGCTGCAAGAAGAAGCGGCAAAAGCACACCTGTCCTAGCATATGCAGGCGCCACAAGACAAAACCCCCAAACGGAGTGAGCCATTTCCACCAAGCAGCCACAAAACCTCCCTGGTCTCTTTTCACACACCTGCTTAAACTTCATCGGCAGGAAAAACCTGGAGTCAGAATTACAAGATGCCTCAAAGACGTACATCTCACAGTTCTTAAGAGAAGCCAGAGTAAACACCTGAATCTTTAATCAGGCACTTCTGCATAAACAAGACTCATTAGTTCTGCTTCTTTGAAAGGCTTTTAAAAAGCCCATCTATATCGGTACCTTAGATGCTTTAAACCCTCAAAGCTAGCCCTGAGCTGGTGGGCCATCGGTCACTGGACTCCAGGGCAGGACGGAAGGCTTCCTTCCAAATCACGGCGGCCAACAGAGTCTGTCCATCTTCAGGAACAGCATCCGCAACTTCCCTTGCAAGTGCTGATTTTTTATCCCATTGAAAAGTGGCTGTTTGGCATTTGAACCACAGTCATTCAGTGCACTATCAGCCATCTACACTACTGCTTATCTATCTGGTACGAAGTGATTTTAAGTGTTATACTCATTTTTTTTCCCATTTAAATTTTCTTCTTAAGGCACCGTGATTTACAACGTTGTTCCTGACAGCTTCAGGCATCCAACGTGCCAGCACCAATGCCTGCCTCTCTGACAGGCACATTTTCAAGTTTGGCGACTGCAGTCTGGGGCTCCTGCTTACAGCGGTGCTGACTCTGTGGTTCACACTTACAGACATACCACACCTCTACCCCACCCAAGGCCCCAAGGCCCCTGGCTCCCATCCACCTTCGTCCCCCCTCCCCATCCTTCTCATTTCTATAATCTAGCGCCAAGAGTTTGCCCCCTTGTCAAAGGTGTCAATCTTGGTTCCCTTGTCCTGTTTTCCTCAGCTTTGAAAAGCTGAGCACTGAATAATCATGATCATGCTCTTGTCCTGTAACTTCTTTTTCATACATCACTTACGTTTTCAGTCCTTAAAGCTAACTGAGTTGAGGAACTCAGACAGCAACGATCCAAATAAGCCCACGGGAACCGCATCAATTCTTGCCCTGGCTCCGCTCCCCCCACCCTGCCCAGCTCTCACCTTGGAACTTCTCCTACCCTTCCATGGGCCTTGATTTCCCTCTGTGCAAATGATGGATGGGGCACGGCAAGATGCTTTCTGCCTCTCACAAGGTACCGTGACTCGAGTCACTAAAAGCTTCATCAAAGTGTCACAGTCAGCCAAGTTCACACTTATTCTCCACTAAGGAAGCCTTCTCTCACTGACTCGTCCTGCCCAGCTGACCGCAGAGGGCAAGACTTTGAAAAGGAGCCCTTTGACATGGGGAACACAGTGGGCACCAATGAGTAAACGTGTAAGAAAGGGAATGAGAATGAAAAGAACATCAAGAACATTAAAAAAAAAGAAATTCTTAACCAAAGACAAGCCAAGAAAGTAGTTCTCAAAGAGAGATATTCATTAAGGAAACTGAACCAAGTAAAGGAAATCAAACAACAGAGTGATCTTAAATATCTAACTCCAAAGATTGTTTTGTTTTCACAATGAAAAAACAGCTGCCTGTAAAAGCAAACTAAACTTTTTTTTCTCCAAAAGCAAAGCTGACTGTAAATTGTAAAATGTTTGCAGTCTTTAACTGTAAAATTTTTTTTTTGGCAGGGGGCCACGCCCAGCTGTGCTCAGGGTTTACTCCTGGCTCTGTATTCAGGAATCACTCCTGGCGGGGCTCAGGGGACCACAAGGGAGCTAGTGAGTGAACCCAGGTCAGCCAGGCAAGCGCCCCACAGGCTCTACTACCTCTTTCATCCCTTTCCCTTTTTTGTTCCTTCCACAGCCTTTACTGGACACCTACAAAGGGCAGAAAAGTGTCTGATTCAAATCTGGGTGAACTCAACATGCAAGTCCGGCTCCTTTGTGGACAAATACCATTGCAAAGCTCAGTCCACAGGAAGCTGGGAGGAGCCTGTTTCCTTGCATTGAATCATGCCAGCAGGAAGCAGTGGGGAAATTAACAGCAGCAATTCTCGCAGAGTGGGCCTTGTGCCGGGGCAGCATCACTGGCCATGCAGAAATACAAACTTGCCTAGCCCCAGAAAGCGGGGGCTAGGGACAGGCTGGAAGAGTCCCAAGTGATTCTGATGTTGTCAGGGTCCAAAAGATAGCACAGTGGGTAGGACGCTTGCCTTGCATGTAGCAGGCCCGGGTTTGATCCCTTGGGGGCCCACTAGCACTGTGAGGTGTGATTCCTTAGTACAGACCCAGGAGCAACCCCTGAGCACCACCAGGTGTGACCCAAAACAAAACAAAACAAAAAATGCAAAGTGATTCTGATGACACTGACAGACCCTGCCAGACATTAACAACAAATCTTAAGAATGATGGACTGAGTAGGTGACATTGAAAAAAGAAAAATAGTATTTCTGGGGCCAGAGGGATAGCAGGAAGCTAACTTGGGTTCAATTCCAGGCATGGTTCCGAGTCCCACTAGGAGCAATCCCTGCGTGTAGAGCCAGGAGCAAGCCCTGAGCAAAGCTGGGTGTGGCCCGTAAACTGAAAAAATTTCTTAGTTCTTTATATAGTCATTTTTATTTTTCACAATTAAAATTGTTATCATTGGGTTTTAGCCATACAATATTCCAACACCCTTCCCTTCACCAGTGTACATTTCCCACCAAGGTCCCCCGTTTCCCTCCCACACCTCCCCTTCACCCCCACCTCAACGGGTGACACCTCTCCCCCTCTCTGCACTATGGATTGCAATACAGGGAAAGGCTATCATGTAAAAATTCCTATTTCTTATTTCGAGCATGTTCATTCAAATCAGTTACACAGAAAAGGAGATCGTTCTATTCAAACCGAATAAAACTATTCTCAAGCTCCATCCAGGAGAATAACCCTGTCAAGAATTTTCCTGACCCTCACGTTTTTCTCACGGAGCAATAATCCAACAATCTTTCCTCACCTGAGTCCTCCTCAAATAATTCATTCTACTGTCCGTGGGGAAGATCCACATCCAAAACATTCAGCCTTAAACTTCCATTCTAACACACACACATACACACCCCAAAAAACAGAAATAACCCCAAGGCCCTTTACACCAAGGACCGCTCCATCCCACAGCCAGAGATTACCTCAGGCTGACATCATCTATCCGCTGACATCACCTCCCAGGGGCTCTCCCTCCACACTGTCCCCAGAGCCACCTAACATGGATCCCCAGTGTGTCCCTCTCCGGGGCCAGGGCCACACGACTTCGCTCTCCAGGTCCTGCTTCTCCTGGTCCCCACAGGTGCCAGTGGCTGCCTCTCTGCTCCTGCCCAGCACCAGAGTGACCGTGATGCCTGCGAGTCCCCCTGCAGACAGACCCCGAGGCAGGCCCCTGCCATCTTCTCCTCAGCTACGGAGCCAGGCTGCGACACTCAAGAAACGCGTGTCAACTACAATCACTCCTGTGATTGTCATAAAAGTGGGATTAGAATTAGCATCTCCTACACAAAAGTGAAATCGAAGTTAAAAGTCAAAGCAGTGCAACCAAGCTCCCAACACAGTTCCATCCGGTACTTGTGCCCTCACTGGTCCAAGCAGGTCCACGCTCTTGACACTGCGAACCTGTCTTTAACTAGTTTTGGGGGCCACACACAGAGATGCTCAGGGCTTACTCCCATCTCTGCACTCAGAGATCACTGCTGGAGGGGCTTGGGGGACCATAGGGGACGTCTCGTGCAAAGCAAGTGCCCTGCCCGCTGTACTGTGACTATGCCCCTTGCCAATCTCTTTCCTTCTTAGCCCTGTGGACGCTCCCGACAACTCTGTACTGAAAGCGACGCCGAAGTGCGCTAAGACACCCAAGGGAGAGGGGCTTCTAAGAGCTGCCCCTGCTTTTCTGGGTGTTTAGACCACACCTGGCAAGGCTCAGGACTTTCTCCTGGCTCTGTGCTCAGGGATGACTCCTAAGGGGCTCAGGGGCCACACAGGGTGTTGGGGATTGAATCCGGGTCAGGTACATGCAAGGTACACACCTTATCCACTGTACTATCCGTCAGAGAGGGGGCGGGGTTGAAAAGACAGAAAGGTAGATGGGTGCCTGACCCCCCAGGAATTGGGGGATCCTGCATTTCCCATGGCTGTGATCAGGTGAGGTAATGTAGTACAGGAGAAGAAATCTATCCCCGGGAGGTCCTATTTGTCTTCCCCTGTGGGGGGACTGTCCCGGTGCCACGTAAATCCCTCGGGATAAGAGCACCTTCCCGGGTCAACCAGCCGGGCTGACAGCCGCAGAGCGCTCTTGTTTTGTCTGGACCCATGTGTTCCAGGCAGGTCTTATTAAAAAAAAAAAAAAAATGAATGAATCAGCCAAGCCAGCCGGCCAGAAGCAGGAATCAAGCAACTAGAACTTCTTCACCTGCTTCGCATCCTGTAATTATTCAGCTTTGTTTACATTCCGCCCAGAAACAGAATCACCTTTATGACTGGCTTATCCCAGACAAGACTTGAAGTGGCAAGAGTGGGCCAGTTTTCTAAGTTTTCAAGTTGCACCTTTTTTTTTTTTTTTGGTTAGTGGGTGGGGGGGGGGGGGTGTCATTAACGCATTTTTATTTCAAAAGCTCCTTTGGAAGTGACACCTCCTCCCCGAATTCAAGGACCCAAGCGCCACTGCTCTCGTGTAACCAACCCGCCAGGGTTGAAACCCCGTGCTGAAACACGCCTCGTTTTCGAGGTGCCCGAGGACAGCACAAACTGGGAGCGGGAGGGAAAAGCCCAACCCTCCCTCGGGCCCCCTGCGCGGGGAAGGGGCAGACCCTCCGGCTGGGGAGCCGGCGCTCTGCAGCGCGTGGCAACCGCCCCGAGAGGTGCCAACCAACGCTTGTCCCCCCCGCCGGGTCCCCTCCAAGGGCATCGTTTCTGGGGCGGTCCTCTTTCTCCTCGTCACCCTCGTGCCGGCTGCATGCACGTCCCACGGGGGACTGGAAATCAGAGCTCCGTAAGAAAGCTATACAGTACTCCGCCACGCCTGGGGAGTGGTGGTGGTGGTGGTGGTGGGGAGGGGAGGGTGGGGGTCAGCTGCTCTCCCTCGCTCCCTGTGTCCATCCACTTCCAAGCAGCATTCCCGGCCAGCGCAACGTTGGGCAGCTAGCTGGGGGGAAAAGGGGCAGGGGGCTCCGGCAGGTCCAGCCCCACACCTCGTGTCCACCTCCTGCAGCTCCCGGGTACAACCCGAGCCGCGCCCGGCTCCCCGCGCCTGCACCCGTGCACGGGGCGCGCGGGCCGGGGTCCGGAGGGGCGCGCGGGGGGCGGGGTGGAGCCGCGGCGCTGGGCGGCGGCCAGGGCATGAGCTCAGCGGGCCCGCCGGGTGTTGCCGGCAGGTTGCATCAGACGCCGCCGCGCGGGGCCTTTCCCGCGAGCCGGCAGCCTCGGGCCGGGTGTCCTGGGGCCGGGCCCGCGCCCACGCGAGCGGCCGGCTCCGCCGCGGCCTCCTCCTCCTCCTCCTCCTCGGCCCACCCGCCCGCCGGCCGCCTCCTTACCTGCGCCTCCAGCCCGCCCGCCCCCAGGCGGCCTGCACTCCGAGCGGCCCCGCGCGGCGCGGCCCGAGCCCAGGCCTCGCAGCCCGCGCGACCCAGCGAGGAGGAGCGACGGTTACGAAACCGGCAGCCTCCGCCCGTTCCGCCGCCGCCGCCGCCGCCGGCTTCCCCTCCGCGGCCCGACCGCGCGCGCGTGGCCGCCGCCTCCGCAGCCAATGGGAGCGCGAGCCCGCGCGCCGCGCGCCCGCCCCCTCGCGACGGGCAGCGCCGGCAGCCAATCGGCGGCGGCCAGGCTGCGGGAGGCGGGCACGTGGCGGAGGCGTGGCCCCCGCGGCTGGGGGAGCGGGCGGGGCGGGCGGGAGCCGGCGGCTGGCGGCGGAGGAGGAGGCGGTGGCGGCGGCAGCGCTGACCCGCGGTTCCTCCTGGGCGGGTCTCTAAGCCCCTGGTGGGCCCGCCTGGAGGGCAGGGTCATCCCGCCACGAGGAAGGGTCTATCGGAGCCGGGGTTGGTGGAGACCCCGAGCCTCATAACGGCAACAACACCTGTCTTTGGAAAGCGCCGTTTGTGAATCGCCGAGCCCGGGGCGCGCCCCTCCCCTACTGGGATGCTGGGCTTGGAGGTCCCCCAGAGGGGATGCTCCCCGCAGAGGGGAGTCCTGGACGATCGTTGAAAAAGCCAGAGAATGGTGGAGGGAACTAGACATTGGTGGTGGGGTTGTGTTAGAACATTGCACACCTGAATTGCAATTGCAGAACTATGAATTGGTGAATCAGAGTGATTAAAAAAAAACTTTTTAAAGGAAAAGCCAGTGAAGTGAGATTCATCCAGACTCTCGTGCAGATGACACCACTGTTGCCAACTCGGCCGTGTTGTTACGGGTGAAATGGATTGCATTTCCTCGAGTGATTCCCATCTCTTGCATGCAAACAGATGGAAAGGCGTGATCTCAGCCACTCTGAACGGGAATCCAGTTTTATGGATCTCAGACAGCTCACAGGCGGATCTGAAAGCCTCTGCAAACCAGGAAGCAGGGCCCCCGGGTGTAGGGCACAGCCCGCTGCCCTATAGGTTTGATTGCTTCCTCTTTAGCAATTCTTATCGTCCAAAAACTAGTCTAGGAAAGAGGAAACATTTCTTCATTGCCCAACTATGAGATCAGCTCTCCATATAAGACTGTTTCGAGGAATCATGAAATATTTGCAAAAAAAACAAAACATTTGATAATTAAAAAAAAAAAAAAAAGGCTTGCCAGCCCAAACCAGTAATTAGAGCAGCACCCTTGGTTAAATAATAGATCTCACCAGAACCGCTTTGGTCCTCTCTGCTCAGAATTCTGTTTTGTCATTCACAAAATAATCATTTTCTCCTAACCATTTTTCTAATCACTTAAAGTGTCTGGGGGGAATTTTTTTTTACAGGTGACTTCCTGTCTCTTGTGGTTAGCTAACCGTTCTGCCAATCTGCATGGGCAGCCTCTGGGTCTGTCTGGACAAGCCTTCCACACTCCACAGGTTTGGTCAAGGCCAAAGAGATGGAGTATTTCTCTCCTCTTCAGCAGGAATCTGGTGATTTCTTCTACATGATTTATAAATAGTTACTTGGTGCCAGCTACGTGCTGACGCTGGCTGAGTGCAGGGGATTCCGCAAGGGACAAACACGGCCCTCCCCACTGGGAGCTTTTGCTTAGAGCCAGGGACATAGGCAAGCCGTGATGGTGCAGCTCTGTCAGTGCCCACCTTCAGAGTTTCTACCAGAACAAGAAGCATGGTGGATTATAGGATGGTCACTGGCCCGTGGGTGGTGGCAGTCCTGAAAGATACATTAACTCTTACCTAGGTGGCACAGAGGAAGTAGACAAGACAGTCAAGAGGGACCATCTCACCTAAAGGTCATGTAAAGGTCATTTTAAAGGTCAGCGTGGCTGAATCCAGTGCCTGGGTGGATATGGTGAGATTGGCAGGGAGTTGTGGCCCAAGGCTCTTGATTTTTCACCCTGAGACTCGGGGCTGGGAAAGATTTGCCTCCACTTTAAGGAAACGAGGAGAGGGCGGCAGAGGGAGCTGAAACAACTGGAGTTCTGTTGTTGGTTTTTGTTCAGGGGCCACACCCAGTGGTGCTCAGGACTTACTCCTGGCTCTCTGCTCAGGGATCATTCCTGGCTATTTGGGGGACCCGAAAGTGTGTTGGGGACTGAACCTGGGTAGACAACATGCCAGACCAGAACCTTACCCAGTATACCGTCACTCTGGCCCCGGAATCTTTTGGGTTTTGGGGTCTCTTTTTTTTTTTTTTTTTGGTTTTAGTCCACACCCAGTGGTGCTTACTCCTGGCTCTGAACTCAAGAATCACTCCTAGTGGGCTTTAGGGGACCTATATGAGGATAGGACCTGGGCTGGCCACACGCAAGGCAAGCACCCTATCCACTATATACTACTGCTCCAGCCCCTGGCATTCATGTTTTATGTTTTGATGCAGAAGTATGCATGGTCTCCCTGCCGTGGAGACTGTCAAGGAAACCCACTCTGCTTTCTTGCAAGTCACAGACACAAATTGTCAACTTTTTTTTCTTTTTTTTTGGTGGAGAGAGGTGGGTCAGGGGACCACATGTGGTGCTGGATATTGAACCAGGGTCAACTGCATGCATGGCAAGCACCCTACCCATTGTACTCTCCAGCTCCTAAAAGAAACATTTTTTAAAATGTAGTTCTTTGCCTCCAAAGGACTTTAAACATAGGCTCTCTTGTTCATTGAATGTTCTGCTTACCTGAAACCTATTACAACTGAGTATCCTTTTTTCTTTTGTTTTTGATTTTTGGTGCTCCACCCACACAGAATCGCTTAGGGGCTATTCCTGGCTCTGTGCCTGGGCGTGACCCAGGTAGTGTTCAGGGAACGCTATGCTGGTGATTCACGCTAGGGTCATTGGGGTGCAAGGCAAGTACCTCCCACCCCTGTAACCTCTGTACTATCTCTCTGGCCCAAGCGCCTTAGTTTCTTAACAGGTGTGGATTCTGTGTTGTCTCTTCTATACAGTTTCACCTTTTTCTGGTTCTGTGGCCTCAGAACCAGAAATTGCTTAGGCTCTCAGTTGTCTGTGTGGATAACAATAGTATCTACCCAGTCAGATTGCTGTGAGGATGACAAGTCTCTCAGACAGGGCCTTCCAGGTCCTGGGTCACCACTCCTGCCATGATTACCATGATGCTCATATATGAATAGTAAATAAAATCTGTAGACATAGGTCAAAATACACTTCAGTACAGGGCTAAGCCAGGCTTACTATTGCTCTGATGATTCAGACACAGAAAAAACATTGGTGTTGGTGTTAACCCTATACATTATCACAAAAGGTGTTTTTTAGAATCATTCCCTCATTTACTAAAGCTCATTGTGTCTTCGGTTCCCATGGTGAGGAGGAAAAATTTAGTACAACGAAGTCCCAATTTGTTAGAAAGTCAAATCAGAAGTTTACTCTATGAACAAATAGTTATCTTAAATGTGTTTTTACTCCTTATAATCTAAGTATCATAAGTGTGCATTTGAAAAGTTTCCAAAAATACCAAATGACCTCCTGTGACCCGAGATGTGGACCACAAGTTGTTTTGTGTGTTTTGTTCTGATGAGAAGTGAGCCTATATTGCTCACAAGTTTGAGTCTCAGCAGACATTTACAGAGGTCTCTTAGCAATCATATGACAATGATTGGCTGGTTGGCTGCATGGGGTCAGGTTTTGATTGGGAGAATGAGAACTGGCTTCAAATGGAATCACCTGCTAAGCCCCACAAAGACTTAATATGTAACTGATTGCAGATTCAGTCTCTTACTGGCTGAATCCAATCAGCCTGACATTCTTTAATCAGCACCAGTAAAGTGAGCTTCCCAAAACAATCCTTTATTTTCTTTTGCTAATAACCTTCCTGTCCTAGAAATTCCTTCCATTGGTACAGCTTCTCAGCTCACCCATCTCCATTAGTGAACAGATGCTGCCTGATTTCATTGTGTCTGTTTTTTAAAACAAAAACTCTTAAAATGTACTCAGCTTAATTTTTTTTTAAATAGAGGGCATTGACCATCATCTCCAATGAGGCTTGGTGAAGTATAAAATTAACTTCATAAAATACCCAGCCCCCCTCAAATCCCAGAACATGAGTGAATGCTGAAATCTTAGTATGTCTGCCACTGTGTGTGTGATGGCTTCAGTTTTTTTTCTCCTACACACACACACACACACACACACACACACGTTTTCTTAGGACCATTGGCAGTCTTCCTGTTCATAGCTTTAGTCTCTTAAGAAAGGCTAATTCTGGAAGTTCCAGATGCAAAATTCCAAGGCAAGCTAGGCAAGGACTTGGCATTAGCCCAACTCAATCAAGTGCTCGGCCCCGAATGACCAAATGATGGGGATCAGGACATAGGTGAAGCACTAATATGGCTGCTCAGCCAGGCTGCAGGGGCCCTTCTCAGACGGGGAGGAAACCTTGCTGAGCAGGCCAGCAACTGTCAGCACCCACAGCGCCATCACACTATGTCACATCGACAGAACCTCAGTTCCTCTGGCAAAGGTATGTTCTTTCCCGCATGATAGGATCCCAAGTTCTTGAGGGCAAAACAGAAACTTCTGATCCTGCCTTTGGAAGCACTATTTGGAATCATAGCTGCTAAGCTGCTATATGTTGTCTTAGGAAATGCACACTTAACCCCTAGCGCCTAATTCTATATTTTCAGGAAAGGAAAAAACCCTAGTTAGTGGAAAATGGAAAAGTTAGCAAAAACAGTGAATATTATAGGTAACACGCTTTCCACAAGTTCGGGTTCATTATCTGACGGTTAAAACATGTTGTTTGTTATTTAAAGGCACTTTAGGAGTCTGGAAGTCAGCTCCGAGGCTTCAAGTAGCTAGACTGAGCACGAAGTTTGAGAACATAAGCTTAGTCCCAAGTGCCACCACATGTGCCTAGGGGCTCTTTACCCCCCAAACCTGGCTGGTTGGGCTCCTTGGCAAGGGGAGAGGGAAGAATATTCAGGGTAATATGATATATCTGGGCACACAAGGATGAGACGGATTACAGGAGCACGTAGAGTCAATATGACTGTGAAATCATAAAGAGAAATTGTATTACCTGTCATCTTGATCAAGGCCACTGATCTTTTGGATAAGGCCAGAAGAAGTTGTTTCAAGAAAC